CCACTCTTCACGCTGTGGAAGCTCTTCTGAAGAGTGCTCTATATTTGGTTCCTCTTCTGTGTTATTCTGTACACTTTGTAGTTTTTCATACCAGTCAGGAACATGCTCTTCAGCATATGGTGTTTGTAGAAATTCCTTCCATTTTGTGATGTATATTTCATCAGTGCCTTCCTGACAATCCCAGGCATTGTCTTGTGTAGTATGCCAAGGTTTGTGCTTAAGTAACTGATATTTGCAATAAAGTCCAAAATTTGGACCTTTTGAATTGGAAGAAAATACTGGAAAAACTCTGGGAATCATGTTATGAGGCTGAACTGTTAGTTTGTTGTTGACAAGTTTGTATTTTGTTGCAAAATGAATGAAATTCAGAGCCATTATATCTGGGATGGTTTGAATATATTTTTCCCTTTTAGCGTAAGTATCAAGCAATGAGTCATTGGTTACAGTATCTCCATCATTTGTTATAGTTTTGATTCTACGTGAACCATTTAGACTAATAGGTACCACATTAAATGATGAGCTGACAAGTTTCAGTGACATGAGATGATGCATAGTCTCTTGTGCAGAGAAGTCACGTTGGCCAAGTGACTTCATTATCACTTTTTTTATCAATTTTGTAGGGTTGCTATTGTTGTTGCAATTACGGACAATAGAATTAAATGCAAGTTTCATTACAGGTGACTTTGGTTCACCTTTTGAAGCATATTTTGCAAGGTATTCAACACATGCATGATAATCAATGATCACTTGAATATCACAGTTTGCCCTCCAGCCTTGAAGCTGAAGTCGTTGGTGATTATTGAGTCTGCTATCATTCCTCTTTGTTATGATCTTTGCTTTGTATTGAGTGCTTCGATCTTTTGTATGAATGGGCTCAAACTCTAGTTTTGTATTAACACAATGTTCAAATGGAAACTTAAATCTACATTTCAGTTCTGTTTCGTTTTGTTTCTTTCTAAGACAATAGTTTGTACTACAGCGAGTGTGCCTTTGTACAGTATTCAACAAATCAACATAATCTTGTTCAGAGTCTTGTAAACTTACAAGGTCCTTGTGACGCTTTTGACAAGGATGAATAGAGGGCTTCACCCATGTGCCATTATCTGGTGGATCTGGATTATATGTAGACAATAACCAATCTACATACTGACAAACTACCTGGGAAGCCTTTTTCCCATCCACTATCTGTTGATTGAGTTCTAGTATATTGACTTGCTCAGCTGTATTAGTGGACATTTCAGCCAAATAGCCTTTTAGAGCTGTTTCTGAGAGTTTACATAAACCTGGATCATTTTTCAGCTTTGCTACACCATGACAATGTATACTACCTCTAGCTTGATATTCAAATCTGTACCAGTGCCACTCAGCATCTAGTGAATTGTATAACCAGTATTTAATAAAACTTTCTAAACGCTGTGTAAAGAACCAGTCTGTAATATGAGGATTGTTAATCACATTCTGCCGTTTGTTGTCAGTTGAATTATTACTGACTGAGTTGCCAAAAATTGCATAAAGTTCAGGCCAATGCATATCAGCAGAGGAGAATGTGAAAAAGAATGTTGGAGCTCCAGCATGGGCTATTATTGCTTTTAAATCTTCTTTAGCTTTGTGCCAATAAGCATTAGAACCAGTAATGTTACTAAGATAGCGTGATATCTTAGATATAAACATACTTGTATTATTGCTAGTTGCCATTTGCCGCAGCTCCTCAGCAGTCAAATGAGCTTCTCCTGGGTTTTGTTTTAGGAACATGCCTGTCTGTTGCAGAATACGTTTTCTTTGTATCATATTCAATGCCCAGTAACCAAATCTGGGGTGAGTAGCAAAAGCGATATACCCATTTGTCATTCTTGTTTTCTCCAAACTTTAAAAGGTGCTTTACTCTTTCTCCGAGTGGTATATCTCAGCGTAATGATGGGTTAGTAGGATCACCCTTACCATCTGGAAATAATGTTGGGAAAGCCATTGTTGCTAAATAGGGAGTTACATACTCGTTTAATGGTTCACTGCCAACTGTTGGCCAGGGCAAGTGATTAGAATCATTAGACAATTGTTGGCGCACAGCTTCTATTTCTTGCTGCTGACACTCTGGAATAGGCAGAAAACTACTCATTTCAGTACCCTCATTATAAACAATGTCATCTTCATTTTGAGGACCTAAGTCAGGTTCACATGTGGCATCCAAATCTATATTCTCTGTTTCAACCGAGAGAAGACCATGTGGAACACCATGTTCTGGTAAAGAATTTAAAGAATTTTGATTGATGGTTATGTCCTTGTAGTGTGAGTTATTATTAACAAGCCATTGTAGTGCATCAGCTACATTTTGCCTTCGCACTGTCACATCTTTAAAACTGTTCTCTTTACCTTTCATCTTAACAACAATAACAGATAGATCTTTTGGGTATCTAGGCAGAGAATGTGCTAGTTCAGCTATATCCTGAGGCAAATTGATACAGTGGCCTGAATAGCCCTTTGTCCACCAGGTTTTATGTAAACTCGCATAACAGGAAGTGCACGTGCAATAAGCATTTCTTCTACTTGGGTTAACCCCTGCAGTTGTAAAGGTACTAATGATGGCACCATGTCATTTTCCTTAGAAAACTTTTTTGGTTGTTGTTTATCTCGTATGCACCTCTGACACTGGTAGTGATCAACCTTCCTTGGACTGGATTTCAATGGCCATGCTTCAAAACAGACAGTGCATTGGCAAACTGAATACTGATTGGACTTATGAAAATCGTTCATGTTATTTTGTGCATGTTTTTGTTCGTGAACTGGACCAGCAGAGCTCTCTTTTTGTCCTGCAGAAATTGTTTGAGACCTTTTATAACTGGCTCTCCTATTTGCAAGTCTCTCTTTTCGCTTTTCAACAGTTTCTGCAGACGTTCTTTTTTCTATAAGAGTCTTTGTAACTTTTTAGTCTCTCTTTTTGCTTTTCAACAGTTTCTTCAGACACTCTTTTTCTATAAGTGTCTCTCTTATTTTTAAGTCTCTCTTTTCGCTTTTCAGCAGTTTCTTCAGACATTGTTTTTCTATAAGTGCCTCTCTTATCTTCAAGTCTGCTTGCCCTTTCATTAGCTGTTTCTGTATATTTGACTCTTTTCATGTAATTTCTGTGCTTAAGAAGTCTACCATGTCTGTTTTCAT